CTTGCGTCATGCGTTGTGCGTCGTTAATTTTTCACATATTCGACTTCTTTTCAAGAACCACTGAATGGATTTTGACCAAACTTGGCACAAATCATCCCCATGGGAAGCCGCTTCAAGTTTGTGAAGAAAAAGGGCGTGGCCCCAATTCGGGCCCCAGGAGGGGGGAAAAAGCGGCAAAATTAGGTAAATCTTTAAAAATCTTCTTCTCATGAACCAACAGTCAGATTAAGTTCATATTTGATATTTGGGGTCCTTATGGCAAGGTCTACAAAGCTTGCGAATGAAAAAAATCGGGTCAAAACGGCCCCACTAGGGGGCGCTCAAAAGGGTCAAAAATTCAACTTTGATCGATTTCAACCAAATTTGGTAGAAAGCATCCCTTAGTGAAGACCATATGAAATTAAGTTGAAAAAAGTGATAATGTCCCCTTTGGGGACCATAAGGGGTGTAAAAGGGGCCATATGTAAAAACCTTCTTTAAATGACTTCTTCTCAAGAACTAGTGGATGGATTTTGACCAAACTTGGCACAAAGCATCCCCATGGGAAGCCGCTTCAAGTTTGTGAAGAAAAAAGGGCGTGGCCCCAATAGGGGCCCCAGGAGGGGGAAAAAGGGGGGTAAAATTAGGAACGAATGTTCTACACAAGGTCCTGGCAAGTGTTTTAACTTTTTGGGGTGATTCAAAATCCAAGATGGCCACCCTGGCCTCTGTTTGGCTAAGACATTTTGGACTTCCTCTCAAGAACCACTGGGTGGATCATGTTCAAACTTGGTACAGATGTTTTACACACGGTCCTGCACAAGTGTTGTTACATTTTTGCAACATTTTAAAATCCCCACATTATTGACATATATTCCTCAGGTGACCGTTAAGGCCCCTTGGGCCTCTTGTTTAATAATAAATTCAAACTTTTCTGGTAGTCTGTTCTGAATAAAGTAAAACTTTAAGAGCAACGTATTACCTGTAAAGTGGGTGAGAAATTCTATCAGTGGATGCGAGGCATTATAAGGATCATATCCAATATGAAAATTGCCAATTAAAAGAACAGATTGGTTTGTTAGAAAACCACAGAGTATCAAAAAACATAGGTAAGACTTTAGATGAAATTAAAAGCCCCACAAACAAACAAAAAAAACTAGAGACTATCAAAACCAGTTCTTCAAAAGCTCTCTGGTTTGCGGAGTCATTTGGCCTGACACTGTCTGTTCTGAAATTTAGATCGTTGACAGGTCAGCAATATTCAATAAACTTTGATCAAACAGAACCTAGCTATGACTCTCTTAGTTTGGGCGACAAAGACAACATTAAAAAACTTATATATATTTTGGACAGATTTGCCATTAGTGACGAGGCTTATCATGAGATACGTCTCCTATCAGAAGATCTCCCTAGCAAACATGAAATTAAATCCTGTAGAAACACAATGAATGGTGAAGTAGAGATCGACAGAACTCCTGGCAACATCCCTGGTGCCCGTGCAAGCGTTAAGCAAGAAATAGAAGGGGCCATAAGGCGTGGTTTACACAATGATTCGAAGTTGACTGTTAAATTTTCAGGAGATGGAGCTAAAGTCGGGCGGGTCACAAATTTTTTGATTTTGTCACTTTCCTTTCCAAATTCTTCATATCCCTCAGATCAAAAAACTGTAGGAATCATAAACTGCAATGAAACGTACGATAATTTGAAAGCAACGTGCGGTCCAGTTTTTCAGGAGATCAATGACTTGAACTCAGAGGGAATTATTGTTGATGAAAAAAGGTATGATTTAGATTTATTTTTTGGACGCGATATGAAGTTTATCAACTTATTGACAGGGTTGGGGGCATCGACCAGTGAGTACGCCTGTCCATGGTGCAAAGTTTCAAAATCTGAACGGGGGGATACAACGAAACCATGTGATTTCTACCATTCTGCAACAATGTTTCAGACCATTGAAGAAACCAAAATATATTCAAAATCTTCAAAAAAACTGTTCGGGGTAAAAAACCATCCGCTGCTAGAAATTGAACAACAGCACATCATTCCCGATGAGCTCCATCTGCTTATGAGAGTGTTTGACGTCCTATTAAGGAATCTTATAGATGACGTTAAAGACGAAGATGACGCTGCAAAAGTACAAAACGAAAAAGCTGACTACTGAGACTCTCTAGTGTCACAAATGAGGTCATGTGGGGTCAGTTTTAATGTATGGTCAACAAAATACGGGAAAGGGGAATTAGAGTGGTCGTCACTAACTGGGGTGGATGTGAAAAAAGTTGTTCAACATATACCAGAGAAACTTTGCTTTGTTGTTCATAACAATACACTGGACCAAACCATTTGTATTTGGCATGGGTTTTCGGAACTGCTGAGCTATCTTTGTTCGAAAGAATGTGAACTTAAGACAGCTGACTACACCTTTAGCAAATGCAAAGCATGGGCAGACTCCTTCCTCGCTTTAAGCAGAGTTAGAAAAGGGTACCAACCAGAAAACATCACCCCCTATATGCATTGTTTGCTGTACCACGTCCGCCATTTCGTGTCAAAATTCGGGTCATTAAAAAAATTTAGCGGACAAAGTGTCGAAAAAACAAATGACGACATCAAACAAATTTATCATCAAAAAACAAACAAAGTTGACCCCACTGTAGATGCCCTTAAAGTTAGAAAACGTATGGAAATGTGTAGCGAAATGCAAAGGTTGCCCAGATGTTATGAGAAAAGGAACGCTGATTACTGGGAAAGGGATATTTTTGACAGGAGAAGAAAGAAAAAAACCAAAATTTTGGAAGAAATTCAAAGCAAAACAAACATCCCAGAGAAATGGGAAAAAAAAGTACTTTTGACGAATTAAATGAAATGTCTGTTTCGGAAATTAAGGCTAAATTAGCAGACTTAGGCATCAAAACAAAACTTCGAAAAAAGAAAAACTGATAGATTTATTCTTGGAGAATGAACGGAGTCATATTGACTGAAATACACACTACGGTTTCAGGATCACAATGAATTTTTTTGCTGTGGCGTTATATTTATTACACTTTTTAATCGCCACCGACATAAATTTGAAAGTTTGATTTATGTGTACATTTTGTATTGTATTCTTAAAGCTCTATTTATTTTCATGTATGTATTTCTACAGTCAACTTCATTGTTAGCAGTGTACCAATGATAAAATATTTCTTGATATGACAGAAATAAAAATAAAATATATACAATAATAATAATAATTTAATGTTGTTATTCTGTAAAGGAAAAAAAAGGTCAAGTATGTTTATCACATTCTGACTTTGGTCCTATGTATAGAATGTACAGGTAACATGATTATCCCGACTTGACCCCGATTGGGATTTAAGGTGCAGTACGAGTTATCTCCCTTAAACAGGCAAGATTGCTGGTAATGATAACGGGCTTGAAAGTCAAATTTAATGTTTGTTTGATAATGCTAATGAGAAGTGGAGATTATTGAAATAAATCTATTACATAGCCAATGGGACATTTTACGGGAAGTCTTGTATAAGAGGAAGTGTAATCTTTGTAAGGTGTAGGAAATATTGAGAAGAAACTGTCAGGATGGGGTAAATAGTACAAGTAGTTAATGAGTGTATGGTATTAGGTCTCAACTTTACTAATCACTCATGGTATTAATAAAGTTTGCTAACGTGTATTTTGTTATATGAACATTAGAACATAGTGTACTATAGACCACGTCAGTGTGTAAAACTCACAAATTCACGAGGACCATGTATGTATTATTGTGAGCCATGGCACTTTTGAAATTAATTAAGATCTGGCACGGGAAAGTGATTCTGTAAGTCCTCTTCGCAATAATGTTTTCTCTCATTTCTGGGAGAGGGGTTCCGATATACACCACATATAATAGTGAGAGAATTCTCGGACTCCTCATAATGTTTTATGCTTTATAAATGGCTACTTCAATTACTTTTCATGTTATAAAATGAGTGTTGACAATGTTAAACATCTGATGAATGATATCTGATAGTTAAATGCGACTACTGCCAACTAGAAAATGGTCTCCTCACAGCGAAGTAAAACTTGCCAATTTCGCCTAAACCACATTTTGCGCGTGAGAGAGAGAAGGAAAATATTACCGTTTTAGATTTCTTACATTTACAATTCATATTTAACATTAGTAAATCCTTTAATTTTTTTTTTTTCATTTCGCACATGTATATAAGAGTCTTGGCAAAGTGAAAGAAATTTATTTGATTCATCTTATAAGCCTTACGTCTTTCATCTGTAATAAAAATATTGTCACTGTACATTGTTTTATTCATAAGCGCACCAGGTAAACAGGAATGGCTGATATCAACGATTTGCTGTGTGCAACTTGGACTAAGACCACAATTAATTTCACTATATGTTTCATTGTAACATTAAAATTCATAACTAAGTCCAAAAGTTTCATCTGCAAATTTCCATTTCACCTGGCCAAGATCAACATCTGAGAAGCAAAATGTAAAAGTTTCAACCCATCATGTTGGGCATTTTCTGGAGATATACCTCCATGTGTGTCACCAACGTCAATTATATACATCCGGGTCAGGGGTAAAGGTGAAAACAGGGCTTTTTACACCGGATCCTTGCAGCACAAAATACATGATCAATATGAATGATTTACACACTGACAGCTAGATTATCATCTCTATAACACATCTACAGCACATTTATAGGCAAACACCCAATTCAAAGAGGCATATTATTTTTTTCCCAAATATACATACATTTTTTAGGGACCTCATTCGTGGGTACTGAACCCGGAAGTATTTGATTGTGGTCTTAGTCCCAATGTACTGAATTTTAGTTCGGTTGATGACTTCCGTTCTGCTTTATAAAAGTGAAAGATTGGCTTTGCTATTTCAATTTATCATAAATTAAACCCTGCATTGTATAACTAAGACATTAGTATTTTGTATTTGAAATGCTGTAGACTGGAACAATATTCGTTACATTGTTGAATTATCTTACCTGTGCTAAGTAATATCAGACAATAACAACAACCATCATGGCCGCCAGGGCCGTCGGAGCCACGGTGCGAGCTGTCAGTAAAAAGCGGATGATTCCTACACGAGCTCCACTTGTTTTGGTAAGTTATCGTATCACTAGTTGCACGTCGGATTAGTAGTGATTGTTTTAGTTTTGAATATTTAAATCATGTCGAAAGACACACGAAAGTTGGCGAAATTATGTTGATCAAGGTCATTTCGTAACACATGAACTGCGTTGCAGATGCAAAATGTCACGTTCGCAATCAGCGACTGTTGTAGAAAGTAATGTTCTTGAAACTTCACATACACACACACACACATCCCCGTGACTAGTAAATAAAATGCTGTGCCCTCTGTGTTAGCGTTCTGCATTTTCAAACGAATCTGTTGTACTTATTCAATATGTTGCATAATGCTAAAATATACTAATTTCATCATTATTATTCCGATGATTTTATTTCAAAATCAGATATCGGCAAAGAGATGGAGTTCATTAACAAGAAACTATATTTAATTCTGACTCTGAAAAGAAAGTTAAATGAGATTTTAGCTTTAATTAGAATGACAAATTTTCAAAATGTTTACACTGTATGTCTAGATATTGGTTGTATTTAAATAATAAATCACTTTAATCCCATTGAAGTGGACCAAATGTTATAAACTCTAATATTGTATTGTTACATATAACAACACTACAGGGAAATATGGTAGTTATATCCCTTTCTTCAGCATTGCTTGATGGATCATTTTTCAAATTTCATATGTAGGTAGGTTCCTCTTGAACCTTAGTTGTGCATTGGTTGGTTTTAGTACATCTCAGATTTTGACAGTATTAGTTTGTTATTGCTGTTGCTTGAGACATACAAGATTGGTATTTTGAGATTTCATATATAGCTTCCATTTGGTTCCAAGTTGTGCCATTTTGACTCTTGGACTAACCAGAAAAACAAAATGGCAGACAGTCGGCCATCTTATATTTTGTCAATAAAGTTTGTAACCACTATTCCTGAAAATATACTGTTGGGATCTTTCTTAACTTTTAGATGTAGGTTAAATTTTATTCCTAGTTTTGCCCTTTTGATTTTCGAATTTATCAGAATACCAAAATGGCCAACAGGTGACCATTTTGATTTTGAAAATAAAAGATTATATTATCACAATTTTAAAGAGGGTTTTTCAAGGTTACTGGAAAAGATCCAAATTTTAAAAACACAATTAATGACTTCATGATGACTGGCACTAATCGAATGCAGGTATTTACATCTCATTAATACTCATGGTTTGTTAAAATGGCATAACTTCCATAAGACTTATGTTTTTTATTGTAGACTCAAGCTGCTGTTAACAAAATAAAAGAACTAACCCAAGAACAACCTGATGTGGTAAGCAGAATTAATTTTTTTTTGCAAAGAGTGAAATTACATGATATTAAGTTCACACCTAGTAACACTATACCACTGGTATTAGGAATATCTTTTTGGTTTTACACTGTGATTTTTTTTCTCTTTCCTTTTTAAAGTCAGTTTTGGACTCTGCAATCTCAATGGGAAAATTTTTAAATAAAGACAGACAGGCCAATTAGAATGCCTTTCATTAGACTACTTGAGCTTTGGAAAAGTTTTTAGTGGGTTGTCCTAGTAAGAACTGGTAACTTTCTCATTTACCAATATATGGGTGGTTCATAACATGTAATCCAGAGTAATTAAGGTAAAATGTCTCGTCCAAAGACAACCTTGACAGTGTAAACCAATATTTTTCCCAGCTTAGGTAGAAACGCTCAAATCTCATGTGAAGGAAGTGTCAAGCGTATATAAGCCATGATCTACTGACTGAGTTATCATAATAAAATCTCAGTGTGGGGATAAATAACAAAATAAAGGTGCTAAATTATAATTCATGGATTTATTTCTTACCTCTGTAGATCAAGCTATCCTGAAGCAATTTTAAACAACTTTTTGATAATATAAATCCAAAGTTGACTGTCTACAGATTGTACATGGAGTGGCACCATCCACATTGTTCGACTAGTTTTGGAAATTCAATGCCATGATTACGAAAAAAACAAATAAATTTTGCGTTTGGGAATCGGATCCAATAAGTCCTAATCTCGACCTGAAATAATGATTCTCTGTTTACCATATTACATGCTTACTCATCAAATGTTACATATAACTAAACTTAGCAAGTAGCTATACCTAGTCAGTGGTGTGCTTTCCCTTTTTTAGTAGGAGACAGTTAAGATTGATTCAATTTTTCATAAAACTTTTGTTTTATTATGTATTTAAGTTGTTATTCTCTAAAAGCAAATCCTACACATGAAGGGAGATGACTCTTTTGGTCAAATTGTATTCAAAATCAAGAAATGAAATTGTAATGATCACAATTGTTTTCTTCTCTAGCTTGGGCTGAGGATAGGTGTAAAGACAAGAGGATGCAATGGTCTATCCTACACACTGGACTATGTAAAGGAGAAAGCCAAATTTGATGAAGAAGTGCATCAAGATGGTATGAAAAATATCCTAATCAAATGCAGGCCCTTTTCTGCCCTACATCTTTTTATCTTGAAAAAAAATAATCTTCAATGTGAAAAAATCTCATTAAGGTTTCTCATTACCAATTTCCAGGTTTTCTAAACTGCTTTTGTTAGTTTTTATTGAAATTTATAAGAAACAGCGATATTTTTTCAACAAGCAATTAAGCCAAGTTATAAGTTAAAGGTATTTCATTATTCTGTAATAAGTCAACCAAATGACATTTAGTAAGTTATATGTTGGTCCCCTTGTCTTATTGCAGGATGAATGCTGTGATTCATTAATATGGAAGTAGTGAAATAATAAAAAGTTGAAACTGACACAAATTTTAGTACAAGGGGATTTCATAGGTGTATCATTACTGGTAATTTTTTTGAAAGATTTTGACATTTTGAGGGAGATTTTCAGGTGTTAATCTGTTTTGAAAATTTGGTTACAGGTGTACGAGTACTGATTGACTCCAAGGCACAGCTGACTCTACTAGGTACAGAAATGGACTATGAGGAGACTAAACTAGAATCTGGGTTTGTGTTTAACAATCCCAACATTAAAGGAACATGCGGCTGTGGAGAAAGTTTCAGTGTATGACAGTGATTTAGAGGAGAGCTTCAGATTTACTCATATGTAATGAAGAATGGAGAACAAGGCAACATTATGTGCAGCGTGACTGACACCAAACCCGGTTTGAAAACCAAGTAAAGTGATATGGAAACCAAGAGATGTGGAATATTCATTGATATTTAATCTACTTTTTTAAATGCTTCTAAAGTCTCAATTTTTTCTGTAATTTTAATTTTGTCTAATTATTTTAATGAATGTTTACAAAATAACCTTCACTGCTTCATGATATTATCTACAGTATTTTTTAAATTTGAGTTACCAGTACACATTTTTGGTTGTGTATTAAATCCCACCTTACAAAAAGAAATTTCATTGTTACACATTTTCAAAAGTCAAGACCAATCACTTATAGATTGTTGTAGATTAGTAAGAATTTTATATATGATGATTTAATTGCTTACATGAAATGTTTTCTCGCAGTTCACCATAATCTTCAATTCATTTTTGTATTATTTGTCTTACCAACTTATCACATTTTTCTATGTGGATAAATAGAAAACCCAAAAATTTTGTTGAAATCATATTAAATAGTGATGAATAGCTATTTGTTATACATTCTGGTATGGGTAATTGATTCAGGTTTAAGTATTTGAAAACTTTGAATCATTTATATTGTAAAAATTGTGAAATTATTACAGTCAATGTTCTTTATCAATTTGTCAATATGGCTTCAGTTTGCCTTGTGTGAAAACTGCATCAGCTTACCCAGGGAGTGTGTTCATGTATGTAGTTGAGAGAAAATATATACCAGTAGTGCATTTGTATGTGTTTGAGAAAATGAGTGGTTTATGGATGTAAGTGAAAGAGAATGTGTGGTGTATCTGTATGTATGTGAGAGTAATGTTTCTTGAGGCATCTTTGATTTATTGTGATATTACTCGAGTGTTTAATTTATGCAATAAAATGCCGTTTGTGAAGAATTGAGGATTTGTCTTTGAATGAGTATTTGATGATTGTTACCATTAACTGGGATGATAAAAATGAGATCTGCTGGATGTTTTACAACTGGGTGAAATCATTTCATCAACTTAATTATAGTTTTAAGTTACAACAAATATAAAAGGATGGGGTAATGAAAAACATGTTCTGTTGACTGTCTAGCTCAAACAAATGACTTTTCATTCACAAGGCAAACACTACCACTTGCCATAAGGGAAATTTCCACTCTCTGATAATGTGCTCTTGCAATTGGCTTCTACGTAACTATCTACCAAAGTTGTAGATGCTGTGCATCAAACATGGCTATGTATGATAATTTAAGGTGTTTTGGTTCTTAGGTAAACAATTTCAACCCTTTTAACAAACTAACCATGAAATACCTGGTACAGATGTTGAGCAAGGTCTTTGACCTGAAGACTTGAAAAGTTTGAAAAGTTATCCAAGCTTCAAAGTCTATAATATCCAAGGTGCTCTAAACTTCATATAAACTATTCTGCTGTGAGGCCAAAAGGAAGTGAATGCAGACATATGATCTATTAAATAATTAACTTCATCTGTATGTCTGTCCTGTGGCTGTAGTTTTCTTCTCTTTATATAGAGTAATATCTTAGTATCACTCTCAAATTTTCACAACACAAGGATTTATAATTACAATAAAACAAAGAAACAAATTAATTTCATTAATTTTTAAAAGCAAAGCTTTTTGTGTCATCAAATTCAAAACTTGCCAATGAAAATACTGAGAAGCTGTCATATATATATGAGATCAAGTAGTTGTGTTCAGGTATTGCACTGTATCCAAATGATGGAACTTCAGATGCAATACATATATGGAAAATTTCAGCTTTATTAATTTATCTTTCTGCGTATTCTATATATTCAGGTTGACTATATATTTTGACATACACATATACAACTAAACTCAACAGCCTGCACAAAATAAGGCAGTATGAGCAATCTGCCAACATTACATTGTATATCTTTTTGTTCTGTTAAGAAATTTTCAATTAAACAAAAATGTGTGTATGCTTAAATTTGCTTACTACATCTTGCACTATGAATTAGTGTCTGTCAGCATATTTGCTTCTGCAGAGTTTGTCTGATCACTGTACTACATTACAAACTACAGCTGTATTGCTTACTGCATCTAGATATGCACAAAACCTTATATTCAGGGTTTTATTTTGCAGAAAATGGTCCTAACTCTTGGGCCCTTAAATGTACCTTTAATGTACCCAACAACTTCTTATATTCAGTTGTCATGATAATAAATGAAAATGCTTGAAGGAGAATGTTCTTAGGTCAAGTCAGCAGGGTCATAACCGACTAATCTGTCAATTTTGTTTACAAACAGCTTTCTCTCCCCAACCTCTTCGACCCAACTTGCTTTCATTGTAATGTCCACTTGTATCCATCTCTTTTGTCCAATTCATGCACAATCCTGTGCATGGTGATTCAAATAAGGGGAGACAATTTCAGTTTTTATCATAACTACAAATTTATTAACAATTATGCCAATCATACTTCAACAACATAAGCCTAGTACAGAACATCCTCTCGCCTCTTCTTGTACACTATCATTCTTCCACTTTCATATACATTAAATTATCAACTGTCATGACCACTTTCAACGTTACACTTCTACAAATTGTCATTTATCCTACTTCTGTGAAAAAAACTTGACCTCGGTATCAAGCAAATTCTTACCTCTTAAGATCACTAACATTATCGATGTCTACTGTTAGATGTTATTAAGTATACATGTAACAATATCCTTTGAAGCAAAGAGATTATTTCCCAACAGAAATCCAGTAGCACACTCCCTATCAACTCTCCCTCGTTAAGCAGCAGTCTGAATCATTTCCACCTGCTTTACCCTTAAGTTCCATACTTAAGTTAAATCCTTCTATATAACAGCTAATATAAGAAACTTCAGTCAAATAAAGCATTACATTGTCTATATGCTCTCGTTATGTTTGAAGACAGCAAACTTTCTCCTTAATTTTAATTTTGGAAAGTTGACAGGTACAAATATTTTACTCGTATTGTATAACTACACAGGTATAGGTGGATATACATCATTCCAGTATATTTGCTTTGGAAATTAAAGCCTGGCTTCCACAAAATATACCCTTCTTTCATAACCTATATAGAAACCTGTTCTGCTTCTTGCATATAGTTTACCCTCTCGGCACATCTTTATGTTAATAGGATGCTGATACATATTGATATCTAATTTTTGACTTTTTTTTTCAAGCTGAAACACATATCGAAGTCTAGACAGAGAATCAGTTCTCTTTTACTCATAATCCAACCAGAGAATTCAAATCAGCCATAAGATGAAAATCCATCAGTTGAGTTCCACATAACTTAGGATCCAGCCAGATATTTAGATTATTATTTGCACATGGAAATCAGAATCCAGCTAAAGAATCAGCTAGTCTTTTACACATATTTTTAATTTGAGTGTTTGTCATGTACTCTGATGCACATATAGCGTTTGTGATGGCTATGGTTTCAACCACTGTCTTGGCCTTCACCCAGATTCGACCATTCATCCCTACTGCTGTCTCATAACGCATGTTCTTACCAAGCTGTTTGAACAAGACGCAGTCTGGACTCAGCACTCTGAAATGAGAAGTAATAGTCCTGAATTGTAAAACTGTCAACATACTTCAGTAATGCATAGTAAAAATGTGGATTGAACATTGGGCAACATTTCTTCAAGAACATTAAAGTACAATGATAAATGACTAAAAGTGTATCTTTCAATCAGAACAAAATTGGAATTTTTTTATATATAGTGGTAATGACATGTACAACCTATGATGTTAAAATAGTTATCAAATACCAACTTTGTTTAGCAAATCAGTTGTGATAATTGGGTTTTATCTATAACCATAAATACAGCTTGATACTGGTGTTTATTTACATTAGGCTTGTTCCTTATAATTTATCGTAAGTTCTTACAAAAGCATAGCAATATCATAATTTCAAATACCAACACTAACCAAGTACTGAATGTCTCTCTGGTGACATCAGCTCATTATTTCATTTATGGTTAGTGGCATAACTACCCTACATGCAACTAGGCTGCCAATAACCCATGTCAGATATCAACCATTCAAATGCTGTTCTGAATTTCAGAAAAGTTTTGTCTTCCTGCCAGTAATACCTGCACAACACTTCACCCACCCCTAACTCAGCCAGATTTCTTATAAAGAAGACAACCACTCCTTCCTGTCAAATTGCCAGAGGTAAAATTATTATCTTGTAATATTATAGAGACTGAGAAGAGGATCTTTGCCAAGAAAACATGATTTTTGCTTACTTCCGAGCAAGATTTATGGGAACTTGGAACATGTATCCTTCATCCCTTCCAATCACTCCAAGGCCGCCACTCTTTCCTGTACTGTCTATACACACCACCTCTCCCTCCATGTCTTTGTTAGCCTCAACAAACTTACAATACACTATATCTCCAACCTTCAACAGTCAGATGACAATCACATCACTGTCAACCTCAAACATGTGGATGGAAATAATAAGAAATTTAGAGGTTTCATGTAGCAATTATTGAGCACTAAAAAAGAAATATGAATATGATACTACAATTCTAGTTAAAAACTACTGTCAAAACATGAAAAAATTTACAGAGAAACCCTTTAAAAAGTACATGTATCTAAGTTGGATCTTCCTTCTTTTTTTTGCTACTTCTTGAATGGAAATGTATCAATCAAACTGATGTAGAAAATCTGAGAATGATCTCTTTGGTACTATCTGAGAATAATGATAATTTCTTATCAAAATCCATAATGGATGCCAGTCAGTCATATTTTTTTTTTACAAAACCCAAACTAAAATTAGATATGAAATTAGAGAATATATTTTGAGATAATAAAAAATGATAATTTGAGATATAACATCAAGCTCACCATGTGATTATGGCTTAACAGCACAACCAGATTTGGAAAGCATCATGCTTTACTTGGGTGAAATTACAGGTATTCATTCAAACTGTCAATTGTGTATGCTACACACTACCCAGGCCCTTATAGTAGATGAAAGTAATGTGAAAGGAGACTTACCTTCACATCAGGTCGGTTCCTTTTGGTAGCAGCTTCAAACGCTACATAGGGCAATGATGCTTGGTCACTGCTACCAACATCCACCCTGAAGATGTCACCTGCCTTTGTTGTAACAATTCCGAGAACTGCATCACCTTTGACAGGTATGTACTGCAGAAGGAAAACAAAACATTGTAACAACTGTAAGTACCAGGTTAGACTTTGTATACAGGAAAGATGCCATGTGTATTTTGAAGAAATTTGCTAAGTCATAAGTGTATTATTTTCATATTTAGACACTACCATATATATTTTAGTCATAATACTACTATTTCTATATAAACTAGAACAATGACAGTTCTGTAAAAGGCCTCGCTGTGAGGCTGGAAATCTCCCCTGTACCCTGCAACTTCTGGGTCTGAAAAGTAAGCACTTCCAGTAAGAAAGCATTGTATGAAGTTTGAGTTTGATTGACCCAAGACAACCCAAGTTATGTCACAATTTTCTATTTAAATCAACAGTAATCTGGACCATTGACCCTCAGAGATTTGAGTCAGCGATCTCGACTTTTGACCTTTGAAGCTGAAAAGCAATCCGGAAGCATTGTATGAGGTTTTAGTTTGAATGGCTAAATCAAATTTGAGTTATCGCAGAGAAACTGATTTTCTATTTATAGTAACAGTGGCCTTGACCTTTGATCTTTGAAATTGAAAAGCATTCCCATGTAAGCATTTTCAATAAGGAAGTACTGTTTGAAGTTTCAGCTTGATCAGTCCAAGGAAACTCAAGTTATCACACAGAAACAAAAGTCCTGACAGACAGACAGATGAACGGACACCATAATTACTAGAGGGCACCTGCATTTTCCTGCTGTGTCCTTATAACAGCAAATGAACAATTACATGAATACATTAAAATAACTTCTGGTTAAAAAAAATCAAGATAATTGCTACATATTTCAACACAAATTTCTGTTGGATATCTGAGGAGATGTACTGATTCACATTCTGTAAAGGTCAACCTGATACTTGCCATCTCATGACCTGCTCAAACAGGAACAATTTTATAATCAACTGATATTTCTTTACTTTAGATCATTATTCAATTAGATGTATTTCAAATTAAGTTTTAAATCTAACATAATCAAAATAATGATCAAACACAACATAGAACATCATACATACAAATGTGATAACTATTCAATAAAATTGATAATAAATTCTATTACAAAAGTCTTTTTACCTGATGACACTATAAAACACTGTCACCTTTGATTTTGAAGGCCATGGTCAAATATTAATTGTCAAGAGGTTTTGCAGCCCTAATGACACAATCAACTATTTTGAGAATAAATATATTTTTTGAGTCGGGTTAAGAGGACATTAAATTGTTTATTTTTGTTTTGTAAGGAAAACTTCTATCTTTGAAGAACAATATAAACATTTTTATTCTTTGAAATTGAAATAATTCTATCTTTTCCATATCAATTTTATAGATAAATCTATATAAACACATATTTCAAATCTTTGTTGGTTTTATTACCTTAATAGTTATCATATAATATGGCATGCTACAAATCTAGACATTTAATAGCATTTTTTTTCAACAAAATTTGTAAAAATATGACCAAATCACTTTTCCACTTTAAAAAAAAACATTTCAAGGCTACATCTCAAAATTCATAGAAGTTCAAAACATCTCATAATACACACTGCTTAATAAGTGATGACAATTTTAAGAAAATCTATCCAAAGAAAATGTATGTAGACACCTTATGTGAAAGAATACTTTAAATTATTCATAATCAAAATCGGAGTGAAGTTGATCAATCTTAAAATAACAATTCCATTTATAGCCCTCCGATTAAATCATGATACATATTGAATTTTCTTCACAAACAATTACCCATTAAAAAGTAGTTTTTTTCATATTAATCATATTAATTTTTAAGTAAGGAAAATAAACACCTATACCAGTCAGATTTATTTTCAAATTCGATTCCACTTACTTTTTATAGTTTTCTAACAGTTAACAAAATAGTACAAAAGACTTAAGTTGCCTCCCTTTTTCATAACAGAAAGGATTAATATATCGGCACAACTTGAATTTAGCTCGGACTTATTAAGTCAATAAACTTGTAAATTTGAGGTAATACGATTTAAGAGCTGAAAAATCTTTACATTTACAAAAAAGGCCAGTCCTTTCAACCTTATTTGAAACAAATTGCTGAACAAAGCATGACTGCGTGTAATGATATAATAATATAATCATCAAATGATATACATGTATTTTAATATATATCAATATGGACCAATATCTTAGTGCCATCCAAAAGCACATGTCATAGTTATCTCCCTTGTCTTGTTTACAACCCTCACCCTTTTCTGATAACTGTCGATCCAATAAACATTTGGTTCTTTATGTCTCAAAATTCCAGGTTTCGTAGCTCTTATCGTTTCTGATTCCTGTCTCAATCCCGGACCTAGAATAACTTTTGATGTTTTCTCCGATGCCTTAAAACCGGTTATGATTTCCCCGGGAAGAACAACCTTACCCACATGGTCGACCATCTTACATCTATAGAGTGTTTCAGAATAGTTTATTTCATTGAGATCTGTAGTTTTCTTTCACCCACAATATCACAACTTAATTTGCAATATAAAATTCCGCTTTATGTAAATACAAAGTTACCTTGCTGTAGAAAAAAATACATTTGGCTTAGTTTTATTTGTTAATCTGCTTACGTATATGATAACTCAAGAAGTGAAGTTCTATTCATCTTTCAAGGAACAGACTGTAGCCTCGAAGTGGTATTTAATAAATATGGCGACGACGTACGACAACGTGCAGGTTGCTGTCCTTACAGAACAAGATGATTTCAAGCCAGTCGTCAATAGCAAATGTCGATTAGATGTCTCAGCACAGAACGAAAGTGTTTTATTAACTTTTCACAGTGGTTAGTGTTTACAGATCCATCAAAACCTTTCACAAATTGCCGCAAGTCAGTGAACAAAGGATACCGCCAATGTACCGCCACTACTGTAAAATAGTGATTTACAATACTAAATCCGCGATAAACTGATATTTCTATTTCAAAAATAGTTAGAAGCATGTGTTCTTATATCAATAATTTTCATTTCCTTGCAATTTCAGTTCCAGATTTTTAATGACAATTATGACTAGTGTTTGACAGCTGATCTGGATGAATAATTAATTGTGAGGACAAGCATATATTTACCTGAACTATTGAAAGTAGCAATTTGCATTTAATCTCGTGTATTTCTTTGAAAGTCTTATCAATTATGTATTTGCGCGAGAATTTGCTTTGTCAATATCGGACATTTATGTTATCAGATATTACAGGATGTCTTGAATTACTTTAACACAGATTGCAAAAAAAATTTTTAAAAACTATATCGGTGTGAATGAGGTATGATAATCCCAAGACTTGAAATTATAGTTTGTCCGAGTACAAAGACATCACTAATGAATAACTGATCAGTCACATTAGAAGGGTTCGTGATGTGTCAAGATTGGCCCAAGTATCTGCTTGTGTCTAACAATTTTAGTTCCTGGATTGACTCATTCTTTAGTTCAGTGTATCACTCATATAAGATATTTTCAATTAAGTCCCTGTGATATAAAACCTGATGTGTGAATGGCGCTTTCCTTGAGGGGTAAAAATTACACAGGTAAAGGATGTGTAGTTGGAACAAGCTTCAATGGTTATAGTGCCTGTCACATCTGTTACAGTGGCACCTGGTTTTCAACCTTTTCTGGCATCGATGATACCTCAGACCAGTTTCAAACATTATCTAAGCACTTTGCAATGTGATAAAGGGACATTGATTTTTGGTTTCTTCTTGAGCAAAGATTTAAAAAGAATTGAACTGTGTTTTGTGACACAGTGACCAAGTAGCTTATTTAGTTGGAGCAATCTTCTGGAGTTCTGATGTCACAGGGTTTAAATCCTGGCCTGGTCCCTATTACAAGATCATGTGTACTGTAAAAACCTACGCATTGTGTGCAGTTTTTTTTTCCTTTGTTTTTTATTTATTATTATTTTTTTTTTTTTTGTGAAAATAAATGTCCTAAGTGGGGTGAGTACACATGATGTAGCTATAGGATTTTCAAGTTTTAGATGATTCTGGGAGGCTGCCATCATTGATTGTTTGGATTGTCTGGTACTCAAAACTGACACAAAAGGAATTTGATGATTTATTTATGAACAACAATGTGAGATAAGATAATTACTGTATGTATTAATACAAATTATCTGAGTAAATTTCATGCTAAATCCTAATGAAGTATTTGTAAATTTGATAGCAACTAGCAATACAAAACTAACGATCGTCAAAGACATTGCCCTGTTTGGGCATTCATTTCCACGCCCTACCTGCATACGTGTCCAACCAGGAACTTGAGGAAGTTCTGGTAGGTGTGTGATGTTGAAAACGGACCAATCAGGACAACGCGGCATGGTATCATTAATATCTATCAAAACATTGTGCACGTGCTACCCACCTCGTTTACACCATGCGAATTGACCATCGGTCTGCCTTGATTGATCTTTTGTTCTTCGTAATTGCCGTACGTACTATGTATACACATTCCCACACAGATGTGTGTACACAGGTGTGCCTTCAGGCAAAAACACAAGCCTATCCCATTGTTAAATGTTGGTCGTGGCTGGGAACTGGCGATTATTGTTAAAATAATCAGGCAACATGAAAGGTAACTGAGAAATTTGAGTAAAACCTGAGTAAGAGTGAAGTCCGCTACCTTCTTACGGGAGTTGGGAACACGGACAACGTAACTGATAGTACTCGTACTGTACCTTAGCTCTTAGGGCTATAGACGTCAATGGCTTTACTGTACTTGCATATTTTACTATATACGTGATTTTACACAATTCTCGGTCCTAAAGCATGACTTACCTTTGGAAAATTATGGTGTGATATTTTGCTCACGGTCAATGACTCACCTATAAGCCGAACCCCTCCTCGGAGGTCGTAAATTTACTCCAGAAAATCCGACTTATAGGCGAGTATATATGGTACACGTGTTTTTGACTGTTCCCAAAACAAAATGTGGTCATGAGAGAACTAATGTATGACAATATTGAATATGGAAATGTAACAAACAGATAGTGATATCCTCAGTGAATGAAAACAGAATATATGAGTGATATATTGTATTACTTTAATAATCTGAAATGTTAACACACCAGACAGAATTCTTCCTATTTTGACGTGGTCTCGGGTAAACATTTTCAGACCCAGTTATTTCTCAAACCTCACTTGTATACAGGTACTCGTTACAGCCCTAATATCTATACATCTGATAATAACAAGGAAGTAGCCTTTGCGTGATTATCTTATCAAAATGTGTAATAATATGCCATTTTGGACAATACACATATTGATGCCTACAGTACATTCAGTGCGAATCCAATTTTTTGTTTCTTATACCAATTTGCTTGCATGTTCAGAGTTGGGGCCTCAATTTAAGGTCAACTGGTGTGATGGTGAGACTTTAAAGAAAACTCTCTTAGATTGTAAATACCTGGATTGGTCATGATTTGTAATAATAATTTGTACCAGTAATATCAACACTGAACTCCGTTGATTAAGCCTAGTGTGAAGACAAGTGTTTATGTATGCAAGATAAATAAATCTTGGTTAATTGGATAGGTAAGTGAATCGTGTCTGATGTCAAAAGAAAAAGGGAGCTCAAACATTAGGCATTTTATCCTACTCTATGTTAAAACAGAAAGTAGAGTAGAAAAAAAGTAAAATTAAGAAAAATGTGAAAAGAATGCTCACATATTTTGGATTTTCTGTTGTTGGTCTGACATGTTAGCTGAACATTCTGAGATTGGTTTCTTGGCTCCCAGAGATGGATTTTGACTGAATTTTTGGGTGCACACATTATGCAAGTAGAAGCATTTTTTACCTTTTTCAGCCCCAAATATGTACCTGTGCAAATTATGTGGGATTTAATGGTAATCTTTAAGCAACCTTGGTTGAAATACTGACTTCGCTTGGCAAGTTAAGAGAATCCCTGAAGCTGGTAGCTCATAAGATTATGGTCAACAAAATGACAAATATCTATAAGAAAGATGTAAATATATAGAAATGTCTTCTTTTTTTTCAGATGATAAAGAATGCCATAAAATAGTTGTGAATAATGATACAGAGTTTTCCAGGATGGGAAAACAAGGAGTTGTCTTCACAGAAGATCAGAAGAGTTCTCTGGTTAAATTCAACAGTGTACACAGTATGTTATTTTTCAAAACAAAGTGAGATAAGGACAAATTAAGATACATACTTGTCAGATCTCCGGTTTAGGACTGGAGGATCTTGTTTATTTCAATAATTTTGCCCAAAGAAACAAATCTTGTTGTCATTATCATTTCTTTTTCTTCTGAACATTTCACAATAGCTTCTTGGTACTACCAACCATACACATATTTTCAACTTTGCTGACAATTTCAGAAATTAATCTGAATGAGAGGTCCTATTATCTTAACTAAAATAGTGAACAGTTAATGATTCAAACTTTTTGTTGTTTGCAGTAATGAAAACATTTCAACACAGATTGAAGGAGATAAGATCTGGCCTTAAATCTACTTTCTCCGAGAGAACAGATGAAGCATCTGCTGTGCAATATTTTCAGGTACTTGTTTTGTCTGAGTGTCAGTAAGAAATCAATGCGTCATTTGCATCTTGGTTGTAGTTGTAGATAATGTTACTCATTGGTCGATGTATATACTCTGAATGATAGAACCATAATCCTTTGCTGCCTTGAAACTAGCAAGATATCAACCTTGGTTAGCGTCACAAATTCATTCTCACAAAACTGTATTGTCCGATAAAATCTTAAGATACTACTTACCATAACATTCAACTGACATGCAACAAGGCAATATTTGCAAATGTGTCAGATTTATATTGTAAACTTAGAAATTTGTATAAAATAATTTTATGATTTTGCTTTGCAGTTTGGCATTTTCAGATGCTGATCAATTTTAAAATATTGACTTAGTATTGAAGTGTAAATATCTAAAATACAGAATCAACAGAAAGGTGGTAGTGATTGTTAATTGATATTTCTATAGTGTTACTAAATGAAAGTGGTTTTGTTACAGTTCTATGGCTACTTATCCCAGCAACAGAACATGATGCAGGACTACATAAGAACATCATCATACCAACGGGCAATACTGGCAAACTTAGTAGACTTTCATGATAAGGTAAAGTAGACAGATGTAGCAGTGTGTTGCGACATGGTTGACATTTTCTCCCAGATCTTTGAAATATTTCGAAGTCCTCTTTCAGGTTATAATCCACCTGCCAGATAAACTGTCCCAGACAACTAGGATATTATCACTTAAACGGCTAGGTTTCTTATCACCTGAGTGCAATTCAAGACACTTTCTATTCTTTTTTGAGAATAGTCCTACCAGCAGGCTGTGAAGAAATTCTTCAATCGTTCAGTATCAGTGTTACATGTCATAAATGTTTTTAATGGTTAATATATTGGTGATTACAAATTAAACATGATCAGGCCTATTTTGCTTATACCCTTTGAGTAGTCAGGAAGATAGCAAAAAAAATCACAAATTTATTAGTTTTCACTCATTGAAAAAAATGTGTGATTTGGCATATTTTTGAAGTGTTTTTGTTTTAAAGAATTTTTTCAAATTACTGAAGAAGAAAGTTACTATTGCTGACATTCCTTTTCTTGCATGACAGGTTGTTTTAGATGTGGGAGCTGGCTCAGGAATCCTGTCCTTCTTTGCCATCCAAGCAGGTGCTAGGAAAGTGTATGCAATTGAAGCCAGTAGCATGGCAAAACATTGTGAGGTAGGCAATATCAGTCTTACTTTACGAGTATAATAGATAACATAGTTAAAGGGGCTATTTAGTCGAGCAAGTTTTTTTCTATTCAGCTGGAAATGAAAATATGTGTCCAGACTAACAAATCTGTACATAATAGTTTTCTCCTACGTAGCCACTGTCTAGTGTGGTTAGTTTAAAATCTGGGGAAGCCACCGCCAAAAATATTGATAATCCAAATATAACGCAAAACGCTGCGCCCTCTGGTGGGAAGAAGACTTTGTAAACAAATGCACGGTTATATGGACGCATCAAGTGACGAAACGGTGAGTCTGATTTCATGTTAACTCCTTTTGTAAGGAAATCATGAAAGAAATTGTGTGGCAAACCTTTGTGAAACATATAAAAGTTACTGAAATTAAAGATGAATTGTCATTTGATGGTTTAGATCTGCCAAACACGGTCTGACATACAAAAAATATCACCAGCGATGATGACTTATCACTTAACAACAGTCTAGGAGAGTCTTCACAACTTCTTCATTACTTTGGAAAAAGTTTTCTTTCTTGAACTTGTCTCACCTCTCGTACTGCTCTCCTATTGTTATTCGAGGGTGAGCTTTCTGCCACTGGCTTTTCTACGTTTTGTGTGTGATGATGTAACCCCGTTTGCCATAAACATGCTTCGGCTTGGAAGCCATTTTTGTTAAGTTTTTTCAGACGCATTTGCACATGCTCACAGGTGAAAGTGTGAATAGGCAGCATGCTCATTCGCATTGGAAAACATGCATGTGTATCAATATGTCGGCGAGGATAGTTCATAAGGATTATAGAACTACATTTTTACGGATGAATTTGTAACAAGAAAAAAAAATAATAATAACTTGACTAAATAGCCCCTTAAAGGAAAGGACTTATGCTCCATGTCTTCAAAGTGCGCCAAAGAATTTTCTTGCTGGACCAAAATACTAGCTTGTGTTGATCTTATTTAGTGCTTAGATAATAGATATAGTATCTCTTCCTAGGATTGTTTGAACACTTCAATTATATTACGTTGTTGACATCAGATATATACCTGGAGATATTTGAAGCTTTCCTCAAACATAACATTACAAAGATATGATAAAAACTGTGTTAAACTGTACATAAGTCTGATGCTCTTTCCCCCCCCCCCCCCCCCCCCCCCCCCCCCCCCCCCCCCCCCCCCCCCCCCCCCACCCCCCCCCACCCCCAAACATACTAGTCTCTGATTTATGACTATTACTCAAAACAAATTTATCTGATAGCCAATATAGTTTTGGTTTTGTGACAACGGATATCCATTTGCTGTGATTAAGGTTAGTGTTTTTTGGTTATTTGAAGATGCTTGTTCAACAAAACAAACTCGCTGACAAGATAATTGTGATACCAGGCAAGGTAGAGGAAGTGGCAATCCCAGAAGAAGTAGACACCATCATATCTGAACCCATGGGTTACATGCTTTTCAACGAGCGCATGTTGGAAAGCTTCTTACATGCAAAAAAGTGGCTTCGACCAGGAGGTAATGATCTTTATTAAGCAGAATACTATTTTTACTTCAAATCATTAACTCTTTAAAGCAGATATCTTTCATCACATTTATTTTCACCAGTTTTTTTGCAAGGAAGCTCCAGACATCCCATGTAGATTTAAAATCAACCTCTTTCAACAGAAGATAAAAAGATCTTCTATGATGTTCATGATTTCTATTCAAACCAATACATTAAACATTTGAGAAATGATTCTGCCATGAAAAATGTTTCAGAAAATATCTACATTGTAATTAGTTGGAGTCTTTTATTGATGCTTTTTTATTGAAATGGCCAATTCCATCCAAGAATTCAGTGTTGGCACTGTATGAGAGGAAATACCTATAGTTAAAGCTTAACATATGTTTCTGTATCATCAGTCTCATTGATTGTACACAAGTCACCATTTCCTGATATGAAAAGCTTCAAATTTCTGTAAAGGACAATTTTTTGCTACAGGTAAAATGTTTCCATCACAAGGAGATCTACACATAGCACCATTCACAGATGAAGCTCTTTACATGGAACAATTTTCAAAAGCCAACTTCTGGTGAGAGCAATTTTTGTTGGAGCAGATTTAAAGGAATGAATATTGATTAAACTGGTGCCTGTTTTTGATCTATCATATATTAGTGTAGACAGTGGTAATATTTGGTTGTTTTATACTTGATCTCAAACACAAAATGTAACTGCTGTTATAATGTAGTAAATTTCATTTAATTTGGACACATATCATTCTGATAAGATAGGTTGACATTTCCTTGTTTTATGCTGTATACATTTATCTGATGCTTTTGTAGACTTCAATTGATAATTTTCATCACATTAATGTTAATTGTGTACAGGTACCAGCAATCATTTCATGGAATAGACCTCACTAGTTTACGAAGTGCAGCCGTCGCAGAGTATTTCAAACAGCCAATAGTGGTAGGTCTTCTAACCTTTGACAAAATTGTTTTGAACAACCCCCTCCCCCACCCCCACCCTTATCTTATCTCACTCCAAGGAATAGTACATACATGCCTTGGTGGTGGTCAGAATTAAAATGCATCTAGTTGAATATAACTCTTTGAAACGTAACAGGAGAAGTGCTTTAGATAGAACAATTTTTCTTTTCAGAACTCCATTGATATATGTTGTGGCAGAAACTTCACTTAAAAAGGGTTTTCGTGCAAGTTATTGTGATAGCTTCTGCAGAACTATTCTCATGTGAAATACAGAGGGAAAAAGTGAAGAAAATACAACAAAAACATTTTAAAACTTTAAAGATTCATTTGTGACTCAATCGTTGAATGATTTGAATATCTTGTTTTTAGCTGATTGTGTATCATGTTTATTGCAATTTCATATTTCAGGATACGTTTGATGTCAATATTTGTCTTGCAAAATCCAACAAATATACAGTGGACTTCCAGACAGCAGATGAAACAGATTTACATGTGATAGAAATACCACTGACATTTAGCATGCTTGAATCAGGTCTCATACATGGTCTAGCTTTCTGGTTTGATGTGGCTTTTCTGGGATCAAAGTAAGTTTTACAGAAATTGTTCTGTGTAAATAACTTTATTTCCAATAACTAAAAGAATTGCAGGTTGTAATTGAAACAGTTTGAGATGTTTAAGGTATCCTAGATCCTAACTGAGTAGTCTAGATTAGGTCATATAGACATTTTGATGGTTGAAAGATAAAGGTATTGATTTGATTTTTAAAAAGTTCGCTATTCAGAGAGGCCGTGAAATGTGTTTTTAAACTTAGACTTATTAACTAAATCATGACAAATTCAGAAGATACATAAGAATTAGCAACAAATTAGAAAGGTACACATAAGTATGGATGACAAAACAAGGTCATTCTTGTTAACGGTGTACATTATATGAATTTGTCATACAAATTTTGTGATGAATATTCAGATTAATGAATAACATTTTTGTTGTGAAATTTAAAAAATTTGAAATAAATATCAAACTGATTCTTCATCAGAATTTTTCTTTCAATTTATTTCGTTTCCAGAGCAATTTTTTTTTTAAATGATCTACAAATACATTGTGCCTGTTTCAGTGATTCCATATGGCTGTCAACAGCACCAACAGAAACACTAACCCATTGGTACCAGGTCAGGTGTCTGGTGGAGACTCCTGTGCTTGTCAAACGAGGACAGACAGTCACCGGCAAATGTCTTCTACGCTGTAACAAGAGGTAATTGTCAAGAAACAGTATCTATTTAAATGTGTAACCTTTGATAATAGAGATACTTGTGTTAGCTCAATTAAAATCAATCTTAAGTGGGTAGGTGAAAAAACACCATTGAACATTACTGATAAAGATACTATACACTGCTCTATTAAAGGAAAATTTTTCAATGGGAATGGGGTATAGATATTGTGATAAGCTTATGTATGGTATTTTCATAATCCCAGCTTAATGTGTGCAGGCCAATGCAAGGAGATCAGCATCTTTGATAGGTATCCATTAAACCATACTGAATTGTTAAGACTGCTGAGAATATCATAAAAAGGTGTTACTTAACTGTTTAGACTGCAGAGAATATCCTTAATAGGTGTTACATGTGAGTATACAAGTTGTTTTTATTAATATTTCAGACAAAGTTATGATGTCGACATAGAAGTGAACATCCCAGGAACAGGATCGAAATCCACAAATACCCTTGACCTGAAGAATCCTTTCTTCAGATACACTGGTCAGACTCCGCAGCCTCCACCTGGTCAGCATACAACATCTCCTTCAGATAATTACTGGAACAGTCTGGCTACAGGTAAAATCTCTACCAGCTGTGTTGAATGTCTGAAGACTTGATAACATATATATAAATTTTGTAAGATTTATAGGGCGCTGGTTTTGTGCCACTGTGTGATTTTTAAAACTAGGAAACTTTTCTTGTCATCTATTAGGTTCAACGATGTACATGAATGGATTGATTAATGGTATAGACCCCAACATGTTGCAGCAACAGGGAGTTGTACAAACAAACCTGATCCCAGTCTGTAAGTATACATAATGGGCCTTTGTATTACCATAACTCCGCTACAGACAACAGGTAGCTTGTTCTAGAATATTTGATGTTGTATAAGGTTATTCACAACTGTACCAGCAATTGAATTTAAGTTTTAGGAGAAAAAAACACACCTGTACCAGAAAATAAAGGACTTTGTAGTTCATGTGTGATTAGTGTTTGAAAAATTATGATGTTTAACAGTGGTTCTCTATATCTCAATCAGGATTTCAGGAGTTTGTCGAGGTTTCTGAACCTAGATGACAAACAGAAGAGGTGTGCTGTTGTTAATTAGGGTCTTATATTTCTCTTGATCTGTCTTTCAGGAATTCATAGTGCCCACATCCTTTTTCCAGGCAATTTCACAAAACATGAAAATTAAGTCACTGTAGATTCATATTATACTAAACAAATACTCTAGACTAAACTCTTACATTTGGATATAAAGCACTAATTTAACAGAATGGGACAAAAATGTCCATACAAATTGCATTAACAAATTAAAAAATAATTACAATATTCCCAGCTTATGTTCCTTGTCAAGTTATCTTGAGTGATGAAAAAGGATACTTAAGAGTAAAACGTGAACTCTTGATTTTTCAGAGATGATTTATTCATAGGACAAAGATAAATTTTGGTTCCTTCATCTAGTTTATATACTTTAGCAGTCTGAGGACAAAGTAATTCTTTTTCAAACAATTTAAATCATTCTTGTTTGATTGTTGGCATTACCTGTGTACATGCTCATTTGTACAGAAGCAAGAGTTTCACTTAGTTATTGTTCCAAGGCTGTTAATATACTGTTCTCAACATTTCTGTGATTTAGATTCTCTACAAGGTATGTCGGGATTAGTATTCAAATTTGTTTTATTTTATTCCTCACCATGAAAAAGTGTTTAAGGCATCAACGCATAGTATAAAGCTGTTTCCATTGGCTAAAAAAGTGATAATTTCAGGAATGTCTTCCCAATTTCCGAGAAAGTGTTACAATATTTACTCAATTAATACAGTCACAACCAGCTATGAAATTCAGGTAGAAAAAATCTCTGCCACTGTATATCCATACTGTTTCCATTTTTACATTGGGTTTTTTCTCAATTGGTAAAGGCTTTAATGTGATACGATTGTGCATGTGGTTTCTATTCAGAGGTTTTATATTGCTGTTATGGAGTTCGATTTTGAAGAAAAATTGTTTCTTATTTCTGACACATATTCTTACTACCGGGCCTGTAAAAATGAAACTTGGCATCTATTAAAGCTGTTATCATCGACCTATTCTTGCTATTTATTCTGAAAATTTTTACTTCATTGACAAATATAAAATAAAAGAATGTACAGCATTAGACAGGTAATTAGCATACATAAATTTGTTGTTGTTGATGGATATTTGTTGTAGGCGTCCTGTAAGTAGATTTGAGGTGTTAAGGTTAATGAGTGTGCAGCCATTCTGTTTTGTAGAAATGCAACTTTTAGACATTGATACACATAGAAATGACAGATATCCGTTTATAGACATCCTATGCTAGTTATCCACACCTGCAGTTGTCCTGTCACTTTCTCTCCACTTCATGCACTGTTAAAGTTCCAACCATTGCACTTTATTACATCGTTTACAAGGATAGACTGTGTAGATGGAGTGCAATGTAGCTCAATAGAAGGTCCTGTCTGCTTTTAGGTCCCTTAAAAATGCAGTGTTGCCAACTTAACTGAATTTGTCGGGACAACCTGGTATTGGCCATAGCATTTATGATTTGCTCCAATCATGAAAAATTCTATGATAGTTTGATTTTTCATTTTTCTTTCTTTTTTAAAATATCAAAGTAATGTTCAAACTTAGGAAAGAACATCATCTATATACATCAAAATGTGATACTAGTACAATAGAATTTATTATAAGGTCTATTTTCTCGATAATTGTAAAACATTCCTCCTTCCTTGATTTTGAAGGACTATGACTAGATATTATGACTTATGGTTGGCGACATGGAGAGTGCTTTAGTGTTGAATCTACAGTCAGAATTTTCTTTCCATTATTTTTTTTACAATAATTGAAAAGAAATTCTCAGTTTACCATTAAAATTTGCTCTTTTAGTAAAACAAATTTCAAGAGCGTTTAGTAATGTGTTCTCCTTATATGTCAAGTGCATCACATTTTGCCTCCTTGCAGCTAATGTCGCACCAATAAACCCAGGCAGTATCCCCAGTGTTCTAAATTTGGTGACGAACAACACCCACCATGCAAACCGAACATCTGTTGGAGGAGGAATAAGTCCTGTTAACTTCGCGATGAATACACAGGTCAGCAGAAGCCCTAAATAGCCAAATTAACATAGGTCTTTTATATTTTCATTAATGGTATTTTTTATCCTTTCTACACCGATATTTATGTGTATTTAATGCATGCTTAACAACACTATATATTGCAAATTCTACTTTGGGTTGTATCATAGTTTTGATGTTGTCACTGAAATGTAACACTTTTTCAATAGCACAATCTTCTACTTTCATTAAGCAGCCTGTCACCATGCCCACACACTGATCTACGACCATATGGTTTTGAAGTTCAGATAGAATATCGTCCTCTTCCATTTTTTTTTTTTCTTTCTTTTTTTTCATGTCGCTTTCTCAGGTGACCGGTTTTGAACATCTTTTTTTTTGTGGGTCTGTTGTGTGTAAACTATCATAATTTTTATGTCTCACAAGGAATTATCAGTTACATTTTGATAAAACAATAATCAGCTAGTATGGATCAGAATCTTGCACTCCACCCTCACCCCACCCTTTTTAGGGGCTTAAGGGAGGGACAATACAAAACAAAAGTCCTCAGAAACTGTCAGATTTTGAAAATGTGTCTGTAATCATTAGCTAGTGATAAGACGATAACTTTAAGAATTGATGTAGCAATAAGAAGTGTCTCGGTACAATCAAATTTACTAGAACTGCATCCCCCATGGAGTTAAGGAATAGGGTCATTTCAGTATCCTGAAGTGACTGTTTAGTCAAGAAGGCCTTATGTTAAGTTTGTGTTGTGTATTTTAAGATAGAAAGATCTTAACTTTAAAAAGTGCTTTTAGAGTTGTAAGATTGTGGAAAACATTGAGGTAAATCTGTCTCCACACTCATTCTTATCATCCACTGACTTGCATGAATTGATGTTGGATTTTTGTTATGCCCTCACCATAAAATGGGGGCCTATAGCATTGCCCATGTCTGCCATGTCGGTCCCATTCAGTCCCAATTCAATGTAAGCATCTAGCATTCCTTGACAGATTATGGTCCAACTTTATACGCTGGTCAATTTTAAGTATACAACATTGTGTTTCAGGGGCCCAATGTCAAGGCCAAGGTCAAGGTCGCCATTGCTATATATAGAAAATCATCCACTGATTCAAATTAACACTGAGCAATATCATTCTTACACGGAATTTGTTCAAACTTAATGCAAAGATCAAGTATGAGTATACTTTGGACATTGTTGTGTTTCAGGGGCCCAATGTTAAGGCCAAGGTCAAGTTCACCCTTGCTTTATATAGAAAATCGTCACTTGATTCAATTTAATACAAAGCAATATCATTCTTTCATGGCTTTTTGTCAAATTTTATGCAAAGATAAGTAAGAGTATACTTTGGACATTGCTGTGTTTCAGTAGTCCAAGATTAAGTCCTTGGCAGTGGATTAGTGTGATGTTGGTCAAATTCCATTAGTGCTGCCAGAGTTGCAGGACTTTAAAATCCCTAAGATAGATAATTTCTTCATTTCAATCAAATAACTTTAATTTTTATAATCAGATTTGAACATATCAGATTTGATATGTTACTTTATGATATTGAGAAAGGTTCCATGAAGTCTCCCACTTTGTTTGTCAGACTTGAATATATGCTTTATGTTGTATTTCATAGTATCTTATACCCCTTTAAAAACTGTTTACTTATTTAGCTTAGGCATTCCTAATGATCTTTCATATACCACTTTTGTCAACCTACATCTTTAATATATTGCAAAAATGCCATTTAGTTCAATGTGCTAACCTCTCATATTTGCTTAGCCTTCATGAATAGCATTGTATTTCTTAGACAAATCTTGTTTCAGGTTTGTTTTCCTCACTTTGCCTTTTTAGAAAATTAAAGAAAGGATGGTCACTCATAAACTTTAGCCTAATTCTTTTGTTTTAGCATTTGAATTTGTAACCCTGGTTAATACTAGCCCATATTATACTGCTTGGCTAGAGAGAACTTCTCTAAAAGTTTGACAGGTTAATTATTAGACTAGTAAACCAGGGGTCCCAGGTTCAAATCCTAGTGGGAGCATTGGAATAAATGATCTCTGTTACTATGTCATTTCAATTACAAAGATGACAATAAGTGATGCTTACTGATAAAAAATATAGCTTCTGGAATCATTCAACTAATGCTAGTTGCTTTGTCCATCTGTAAACAATTTTTGTTATCACTATTTCTTTAGAACTACAGCACAGATATTTCTCAAATATCATGCGTCAGGTCCCCTTGGACCCTAGTTGTGCCCATAAAATTTTGGGACTAATCAGAAAAACAAAATGGTGGACAGCGGCCATCTTTGATTTTGTCTAGTAAAGATTGTTATCGCTATTTCTTGAGAAGTACTATGTAGGTCTCACTCAAATTTCCTGTGTAGGTTCCCCTTAGTTCTCAGTGTTGCCTGTTTAATTTTTGGACTGATTAGAAAAACAAAATAGCTGAAAGATGGCCATCTTAGATTTTGACTTTGGAAGTTTGTTATTGCTATTTCTTGAGAATTTCTGCATAGATCTTTCTCAGATTTCATGTGTAGGTTTCCCTTGGTTCCTACTTGTGCCCGTTTGATTTTGGAAAAGAAATGGCTTCCAGGTGACCATCTTGGATTTGGCAGTTAAAGATCATTACTACTATGTCTGCAAAGAAATGTTTAAATTTCTCATCATTAAGAGCAAAAACATATAAGAGAAGAGAAAAGAAGGGAAAACATTCAACCTTCAAAGAACAAATAAAGACCAAACAATGGTGGGCACCAAGATCCCTCTGGCATCTCTTGTTTTCTATTCAGAATACATCACTTCTGTCCAGATTTTTCAGAGATATAAACCGGATATTGATCTACCGGTGCTGATAGTAAAGCATTATAACCCTAAGGCCACCTTTACAAAAAAATCTCTGTCTGGCATTGACCTTCTAAACCTTGGAGAACTTTGATTGTTAGATAGGGAAAATGTTTGATTTTACTGAAGGGTTAGGAAAAACAAAAATGAACATTTTTTTTGTTCTGTTTGGTCCAGATCACAAATCATAATCATTCGTTTTAGTGGCAGGAAGAGTAACTAACAAGAATTTTAGAAAACACTAATATCCAAGATCAGAAAAGTGGAGAACTTTGTTTTGCTAGAACAACATTCAAAAGAATTGCAAAAGTGGAAAAGTGATTTGTCATAAAATAACTTAAGTTGAGTATATTTTGTGGTAGGTTGGTCAATGTCAAACAAATAATATTTCAGTTGAAGCCTTATATACATATATATATCTCAAATGTTAATACTTGCTGTCCTTTTCTATTACTCATTGGTGCTGATATATAAGCACTATAATCCTGATACATAAAGCTGTTCTGATTGCTGTCAGTAAAATAATCTAGTTTCATTTTGTTATTACAGAACTCAAGGCAACAAACAACATGCAGCAGTATGTGTAGTGGGACAGGAAACAACAGCACAATAACAAACATACGGGGGGATATGTATCCTGTCAGCAACCAGTTCATGATTGGGGACTACGTCATGCCGGGAAATGTTGTTGTACCAACTCAGCTGAGAAAATCAGAAGCCGTGTGAACAACTGTTACCTTGACAACAACTCATGACCTCAAATATCTGTCGCTTGGATTCACACTTCTGCTATACTTAACTCCTCATCATAGACCTTGGTGTAGAGAAGAGACAGTGGTACATTATCAGTGTACAAGAAATAAGGTTGATTTAAAATCATGTCAGGGGTGTAATATCGTAACATGTCTATATACAGTCAAAAGTAATAATTTAATCAACTTCAAAGTACAATCTCCTTCCCTATTTCCATGTGACAATAACAGTAATAAATAGTCATCGCAATAGAGCAGAAAACCATTTTGCTTGATTATTTATGATTCAGAAAACATCTTTAAAGTTCAGAGCTTTTATCAGTGGTTTGGGAAGGGAGATTTTTGCCTCATTTTGGGAAGAAAATGGGTGAATGGGGAAGGAAATTTTTAGAAGTAAATTTGTAAATTTGGGGAATTGGGTTTAAATATGAAATAATTCCAATTGGGAATGATGTCCATTATTTGGCCCCCAAAAGCCCTTAAAAAAGCCCTCAGAATTATTTTATTGAAATATTACATATGAATGCACTTAAATTTGTACATATGTAAAAACAGTCCTTGCGACACAGTCTTAAAACTGTACCTCACAATCGAAAAGGGTTGTGAGAAAATATCCTATTAGACCGTGATGAAACTTGTGTTCTGTTCTACCTACAAATCAGTGGCTTGCTGTATGGACTCTGAAAGCAAACCTAAGGATATACTTTAAAGGGCACAAGTCTTTTATGTTCAAATTAACCTCAAACTTGTGTCTTTGTGTTCTCCATTTACCAAGTGGGTATGTCATCCACTCTTGAAACAATATTTACAAAATGTGAAAATGACATTTCCAGATATCATTTGGGAAGCCCAAGTTTCTGAACGTATAAAAGATGACCCTTCTATGGCAGTTTGAATTACTGAGGATTCATCTGTTTCCTCTTTATGCATTTTTATCTTTATTTATACACAACAGCTTGTAGATCTCATAAATAATGTACAGAGGAATCAAAGTATTCACTTTAATACTGTAGGACAGATGAAGCCATCATGTGGAGTCATTCCTGCTATCAGACATTCTTGGTTTTACAAGAAAATGTAAAAGGTTATTTTAAGCCAAGGATTGAACTGGTGAGCATGTGCCTTGTCTTAAACTTGCTGAATTATGCATACCGGTAGATACAAGTACAGTGTGGAACACTTGTTTATTATGCTGACTAATGTATAGGTATACAAAATTAGCTTCCATTGTAGATTTATAGTTACTTATTTTGGGGTATTTATAGTTTTGAGAAAAGATATGTAGCTTTACAATACATTTATATATGTTGATGTATTACTTGATTTCTGAGAATGTAATGAGGCGAAGAACTGCAGACAACTTCATTGTTACATATTTTATGATATACTCAAGGGTGAAAAGTCCATCTTTAAAACACATTCACAATGTGAAATTATTGCATGGTTGATGGGTTTAATAAATATAAAGACATATTGTACATTGAAAAATTTCACAGACATTATCAACATTTTGAGCATATTCCTAAAATATTCTGAAAATTGAATTTCCACAAAATTTTGAATTGGGACTCCAATTAACTGAAAAAACATCCAATATCAATTTAGAACACTATACTCTCTTTTGCTTTTTGTTTGACAGAAAAAATACTTATGCAGTTGGCAGGTATCTTTGTACTGCAAAATATTATGTAAGATAGCATATTTAACATCAATGCAAACAAGTATTTTACAAGTATGGGGAAACCAAAAAATGAACTGCAGATTAATGATAAAGCTGATATATACGAGTTGTTGTATTTCAGGGAGAAGGTAGCTCTAGACAAAGATATGTATTCCTAACAGACTAGACTGTATTTAGGGTACCTATTGTATATCAAGTGTATTTTGAAAAGGTTATAACCCTTCTTTTCATCTTACGAAAACAACATCCCATTAAAAAAAAGGGGGGCAACCAGTGGTTGATGCATGAATGTAAATGGTTCCAGGAGAAATGGATGTCCGGAAAAAGTAAACTTGATATAACAATGGTTTTGTCAATCATGGTTGTGTGTTATTTCTCGACAATGCATCACCATCTTGTAGGAGTGACTCCAGTTGATGTGTTATGAAACTTGACACTATATTATTCTTTATATCCATCATGCTTGCTGTCCCGTGGAAAAAGAACAATACTTTGTGTTTTAGCAAAGGTAAAATAGTGCTCACCAGTCCTAAATAAACAACCTATTCTCATTTGGTGTCAAATAGTCTGATTTTGTAATAAATACGAAACTATAATTCAGTATTGTTGTTCTGAATTTATTTCACATTGTAGAAAGTAGATGTTGTGGAGGCCAACATAGCCTATGTCTGCTCACTTCAGTGAATGCACCTTTTTAAATGACTTTATTTTGGTTAAATAATTAAAATCTCTTGTTAAAAAGAATTTCTACAATACCACATAGCCCCTAGTTATACATTACAAAATGTAGATGGTATCTTTGACAGACATTTGATTTATGTAATGTTGCTGAAATATTAAATAGATTTACTATAAACTCTGCATAAGGTTTTTTCTCTTGACCTTGACATCAGGTTTCCTCAGCATATATATGACACTATTATAATGCACTAGAGCACTAGAAAACAAAAGCTTAAAGAAACCTATTTCACCTTTGCTCTCATCATCGTTTCATAAAGTTCAGACAATATACTACTACTAACACAAGAGCCGTAGCTCATACCAAGATAGCAGCATGTAAACTTAGTCTAGATTTTGAAGTGATGTTTATGTGCTTAAAAAGTTCATCGTATCTCTGTCAGTATGTTGTCACTACATGGACTGGGGAAACAAATTAAAATATAAGAACTATTTAGGGACACAACTCTGCCTACAGTAATTTAATGTATTTGCTGTATAGCAAATACCTATTTTTTCTGAGATAATTGGCCATTTCAGAACTGTGATGCATCTGTGACTTTGACATGATGACCTTGGATGTTCGTTACTGTTTATCATGCAGCAATTCTCCAGGCAGAATTGCTGGAAAAAACTCCGATAATTTGCCATTTCAGAACTGTAATGCATCTGTGATCTATGACTACCCTCATTATTGCATCAATGACTATAATTTTTCAATGCACAAGATACTTACTATTTCGAAGTTAATTAACCATTTCAATGCTGACTGTGACATTTGACCCCATGATCTCCAAGATTTTCAGAAGTTTTGCTTACATTCATACCTACCTTGCTCTGATATAATACAAGTATAACTTATTTGCAAAGTTCCATCTTAATAAATTAATACCTACCATTTCTTAATTTACTGGCCATTCAGAATTGACACATCTGTAACCTTGACCTTTGATCTAATGACTTGCGAGTTTGTTACAGTGTACCTTGCATCAATGCCTTTAATTCTGTAGTGTATTTTTGTAATCAAAATACCTACCATTCCTGAGATCGCCATTTCAGAATTTTTCACTTCTGACCTTCAACCTTGTGACATTGAAAACTTTACACCATTTAACTGAAGTATCCACATATACAATACATGCTTACTTTAAGCTATTCGATATTGCAATGTCCTACCACTGAAATTCCTGCATAATCCAGGGAAGTAGGTGGTACCCACCCCCATTTGGGCGTGGTCCAGAGATGATAAAATTTCTTCACAATGCCCTATATTATTAGTGTTTTAAAGAAATGTAATCAACTACAAAACCAAGTTGCAAATTATTTTATTATATAACCAAATCTGTATCAACATGATAAATACTAGCAATATAACTGACACTTGAACCCATGTAATAGCCTACAGTTGAAATCTGGAATATCTATTCAAAGGTGAATCTATAACCTAAACTTTCTGTTAATTGTGTTTCACTTGATATTCATTTTACCTAAAAAAGCAACCGCATGCCAAAATACTCCGTAAGAAAATGTGAGTCAATTATTTGTTCAAATATATATTGATATGAATACAACTGTTATTTACATTACCTTGGTACAGTCTTTCAGTAGAAATGTATTACAGATGTGTCTAGAGATCACCATAATATATGTGTACAACTATCGCACATGGATATCTTGTCATTCACCAACCAACAACATGAAGAGAAAATATTCAAAAAATAGAACATCTTTATATATTCTAATATCAAAATATTTATTCAGGCAATATATTTTACCATGCGATAGTACAGAAATATAACAAGTATGTAAATCAAACATTTGCCTAAATTACAGTGTAAAACAGTGTCAGTTAATAGCACTATACCTAAATACAATGTTCAATTCTTTAAAATAAGGCTGCACATGCAGGGTTTTGTGGGCTGATAAGGGGCCTTTTCCAAAATCCAAAATAAAAATCCACTCTAGGTTTGCGTTCACCAGTCAAGACAAAATTTACATAGTTTTATTGAATGTAGTTTAAATGGTCCATTTTTGGCTGAGCTTTCACTACACTCAAAATGTCCAGCTATTTTATAACTTCGGGGAAATAAAACAGGAGCTGAATTGAAGATCTTCATTATTTCAGGCACACCAGTTTTTATAACAAAAAACCATGATAATTAAGTTTATCAAACACACTAAGGTAATCAGAAATTCTCTTGTCTTTCATTCATTTATTACAACCATCATCTCGTATATCAAAAAATGAATAATATATAAATATGTAACTTCAGAAATATCACAGCCACAGTGAAATCCATTTATGCAATGTCTACTTTTAAGTTTCGTCACCTTTGATACTCCAGGGGTTATGATCACTTTTGCTCTCTGCACCCCTGAAACATGTAATGGCAAAATTGAAGGCACTAGTTAAGTAATTTGATTGGGGTGTTCCCTGAATGCATACATGTCATTTGATTAGCCCCAGGAGAAAAAAACTGACCAATCACAGGCTTGTACACTCCTTTGAAGACTACTAAGGAGTGACACACCAACTTCAACGCCATTTCAATATGCTGTCTTGTCCACAAGGTGTTGCACATAGAACCTTTAATTTTGCCATGACATGATCCAGGGGTGTAGAGAGCGAGATTGATTATAAACCCTGGAGTATTGAGTTGTCTGTTGTGTCTGTCACACATCGTACTTTGCAGAGTACTAACTGGATCCCAGAATAGTCTACGCTCTCTTAGGTGAGGGGCTACTCTCATTGGTTGAATCCAAACTCATGCTTGGAATAGATACTGTGATGCCTCTAGAAGAAGCTGACCCAAGGTTGTTCTGAAACAATAAAACCTATTGATGCATCTGGGCCTTAATGGAAACGAATCAAATTACAGAAACCTTCAATATATAACCTTAATGGTATTCAATTTACCTGATCAAAATTTCTAAATTTTGAACTTGGTGTTTAACTTTGTCGTTATTGTTAGAAAGCAAGACAGAAATTCAGTTCTCAATTTTTTTTTTAATTTCTTAAATTTGAGATTAAGAAAATCAAGAGACTACATATGAAACATTCAGTCAGGACTTTTTAACACTAATGACAAATACCTGTTGTGTCAAGCCCTGGAGACTGAGGTAGTTATCAGATTTCTGAGATATTGGAGAAATTGGAGGCGAAACAGGATGGGAAGGAAGACCATGCTGAAATGAAATCACAAAAATTTTAAAGGATGCAAAGAGAGATTTCATCAATGGCATTACAACATGGATATTTATGTGGACCCACTGTAGAATGTTTGTGATTGAATATCATACACACAAATGGCTGAAATAAATTCAAGATGATTGGATAAGGTATTTTGATTGCGAGAGTGTAGTCTACACAACATCACGTGTGATCTCTAACCACCTTTGCTATATACAAAATCTTAATCACATATAGAAAATACTTACCCTTGTAGTCCTATCAATGAAAATACTTCTTTGAAAGTATCGTGACAAAATAACTAACATGACTTTAGTATACCTCAATTTATCAAAACTTAACCTCATCTTTCGTACACAAATTGATCTATTTCCCTCATTTCCTAATTTCATGTTAAAGCTGTGTAAGATTGAAATATCCATCAACACACAATTATTTGTAAGACTGACCACAATAAATAATGAAGAAATTAATGTTATAGAACAAGGCTTACTGACAATTTGACAACCTAAGAATCTAGCCTCAACTCCACCCTCCTAAATGGTTAGACATACATGTGTATGCACTGTTGATGTTATTTTCAAAGCATTACTTTGTTGATATAAAACAATTATTAATACAGAGAAATCCCCTTTAACTAGCACTGACATCTACCCCAGATATCGTTTAAATATCTGGGTGAGAGAATGTTTTACATCCTCACCTGACCTTAGACTGTTGAAAAATTCAGCACATTTAAGAGTGAAATGCTTTACCTGTTGTGGATTGCGTTGCCCAAGGACCACAGCAGCACGGAGCTCGTTATCAGTCTCCTGTAACGTATGATGTTGGTCTAGGTGTTCCTGGTGCTGGTTTTGCTGTTGCTGCATCAACAGCTGAAGACGGGCCTGGGCTTCCTCATGCTGCTTGTTAAGTTCTAGGATCTGAGCGGCCAGTACATCCTTGCTGTTGTAGGAGGGTGGGGCTGGTAGGCCACTGGTGTGGGCAAGGTGTCTCTGATCCTGGCCTGAGCCTCCAAGACTTCCACTTTGTGAAGCACTTGAGTAAAGTCCTAGACGTCCACCTTGTGAAATCTGGCTAGCCATTGGGTATGATATGCCTGACTGACCTCCCAGTGACTGTGTCATTCCTGGTCGGATGGTTAAGTGTTCTGGTACCTGTCCTGATGGCCTAACACCATTATGAAGAGGCCCTTCTACATTACTTTGTACCAAGGGAATGGGACGGGGCACAGCAACTCTGGCAGCATTGGTTGTCAAGTAAGGCCTGCCCTGCATGCCTTGGCCACCCAGAGGTCCTGGGTAAGATGCTGAAGAGCGTGCAAGGCTGTTGCCTTGCAATGAGCTGCCAGCCACTGACGGCACCTGGCTTGATGCAAGTGATTGTGGGGGATTCCCAGGAGGAAGGCTCTGTAAGAACTGTGACTGTGGGTACCATGGCACTCCCTGAACCTGCTGAGGACCATTGGGGTCAGACTGGGGATCGCTGAGCCCTTGATTTACACTAGAAGGTAGGTTTGGTCTGATAACTCTGGCACCAGTTGTAGGATGCAGACCTGGACCATTGGGTAGCTGTGTAGGGTCGGAGTGGCTATCCACAGAACTTGCCCGACTTGGATTACTGCTGACTGGTCCATGCAAATAGCTAACTCCACCTACAGGAAAATAACTGCTGTTGTTTGGCAGGCTAACAGGTGCTGGCTCGTCAGCTGCAACCACAAGATGTAGAATTAACAAAAATTGTTTAAAGATGAACTGACAACAGAAAAAGGGCAATTTGAACGGTCCACCTACATACACATTAACCAAGATGATTTGTGTGCATCTTTTTCGTTTTTGATGTTTGATAAAAGCTTCCAGAAAAAGAAAAAATAGATATCAAACACACAAAAAAAATTACCAGATACTGGTATAAATATTTTAAAAAAATTGTTAAAATGTAAATGAAATGGATGAGATTTCATATTGACATGAATGAGTTTTATCAAACACAAGAACATGTTTTTTAGTCCCAGGTATCCATCAATTCATTTTGACCATTTAGACACAACAACTATGACCTCCACCGTGACTATTGTTTAAAGCACCTGTGATTGAGTTGTTTTCTGTTGATTCCTCATCCTCCTCCTGCTTGTGTAGGTGAGACTTCCTCACTGGTGGGGATAACAGAACAGCTGCTGAAGCAGACTGAACGTGATTGGGGATAGCTGATATTTCCTGTGGCTGTTTGGCATCTTCACCAGATTCTGTTTACATTATATTATATTAGATTTAAGAAACTAGTCTCACATTTTTTCTCTCACTAAAAAATGATGTTATGAGATGTTTTTAGGAGATAATTTCAAACATAAAAAACACTGCAAGTTGCACTCAGTGTAAGTTTGAGAATTGATTTTGAGAAAATAAAGTAAGAAAAATACTAATGCAGCAACAGTTATGCCAAACTTGTGCTCAATAATAATATATATATAAATTACTCAAAATGTTAAGCATATAAGCAAACAGAAGAGAATGCACACATTATGAGTCCAAGTGAGTACATCTTTTTACCTGTATGAGATGGTGGAGGAGGGGCTCCTCTTGGGGGCGTTTTTAACACAGCTTCCTCTTCCATTAGACCAGCCTTGTGTAGCACAGCCTACAGTCAAATCAAACACATTAGTGTCAACACATCAAGATCATCGGAGTTTACTGCCTTCACACAACAGTAATTTCATTATATATTTCTAAAATCTGTTGCAATTGAAAATGTTTTTAAATTTTTCATTTAATCTCCATGACAATATTTCTGTCTATTTTTGTCGTCAGTACCTTGAGGTGTTGTATTTCACTCTGAGTTTCCAGCTTATACTTGGTAAATTCATTCTTCAACTTTGCTGATTCATCTTGAGTTAAAATAATATCCTTCAATAAAGAAAAAAGAAGAAAAATTAACAAGTTCTGATAAAAAGTTATTGTATAAGTATTATTGGTTGTCTCTATTTTACTACAACTGTCAATAAATAATGCTTCAGTGTGGCTATATTTTGGTGATCCCCTCTCTCCAAAAAAAATTGAGCAGATTGAAAATCAAGAGTATTTTTCATAGCTGAACTTTTTTCTAAGTCAGTAACATACATCTCTACATAAAAAGTGTGTGCCCATGCTTAAGTATGTTTGGTATGTATGTTAGATGTGTAGATCAAACACTTCCAAACAATACCATGGATTGAATACACATCATCATGTGTAACATTTAGTATGGGTTTAATGATACGGCTGAAACATCATTGACATATCATAATGCACTGAGACTGTATCATGAAATGTATCGGTATATATCATGACATGAATTACGTCTCTTTGTTCTGTAATGGAAAAAAATATCACCATGGCAATGAGGACAAGACATGAAAAGCTTTTCTGTTATCAACTGATGTAGAGTTTCACAAACGCTTCATTTCTGCGAGCGTCTAAGTTATAAAACGTGCAAGGCCAGTAAAGGTTCAGGTACAGTTTTTATCTATTAATCCTCAAAAATAACATAAAACACTGGAAATGTGATATATCGGAATATTCAGGTATATGTTTGTATATTTGTATATTACAGTATACCGTATATCATACACCCCTATTATTCAGTGTTTATTAGAATCACCAACACGTTATTTAATTATCCTGTAAAAAGCCTGTCCCCTGACTTTGGGTCAGAGTTATTTATTGGCACTCTGGGATTATTACAGAACTGATAAAGTTTTGCCAAAAAAAACCCAGTTTTACAAAAACCCAACTCTTTATATACAGGTCAAAATATCTGAGAAATATGGAATTTGATACAAAACAAGACAAATTTTCTTCCTTCACTACTTACAGATGTCAAGGCATCTATGAGAGCAGCTAATTGAGACACATCTTGCATCAACTGCTCTCTGACCATCATCTCTGCCTTCAGTCGGAGATCATTCTGTAGAAGACAACGTATCAGAGATTAATCTAGACAAACTTTACTTCAGGAAAAGGGCAGTACCCTCCAAGTGCTTTGTTTTCCTGTCTGAATATAACCAATATAATATGAAATTATGACCAGAAACATGAATATGATAACAATATGTTGATTAATTCATATTATGATCAATAGACTGCAAACCATATGTTTACTTATTGAATTGAAGCTACACTCTTCTATTCTGTCTCATTTTTTAGAGACAAACACCTACCTCTTTTAGATAACGACTGAGTTTGGTGACAGAGTCAACCAGCGACAGTGTGTATCCAGAAAAAGTTTCTTGTCGATGTCTCTCAGCTGGAACCTGACGTCCTGTCTGCTTCTCAAACTCTGCAATCTCATCCTGGAGATTCTCCAACACCTGATGGACATCAAAAGATAGTCGAACTGAGGCTCAATGGACAAATAATGCAGTTTTGTAAACACAACAGAAAATGACTGATGAAATATGTTTACTTCAATATACATCTGAAACATGTACCAGTAATCAGATCAGTAGGAGTGATTTCGTTGGAAAGGTAACATGTTCCTTTAATCCATTAGCTGACAGTTACCTTGCGTAGATCTGTCAGGTTAAAAGCTGATGTGTTGTGTTGAGGAGATTTAGGAGGAGCCACTCTTTTTCTCGTCTTCTTAATTTTTTTTGTGTCATTGATTGCTGACTTTGGGGTTTTGAGAATTGAAACAGACTCATTTGGGTTCTTTTTCGGAGTTTCATAACCTGTTCCTGAAATCAGAATGGATACACTGCTATTATTGTTTCATAGCTCTGTGAACATAATAGAAAGTAATAGGATATTGCTTTCCTTGCAGAAAATAAGCTGCAATCTGAAATGGATAAGTAGAGTTGATGCAAGATTTAATAATGTATTTTTAAAGATGTGTGACTGACAATTAAGGTAGACCTTTGGTTAGTCTGAACAAAATCCAAAAAGAAAAGGTCAATAGGGCCTGTATCACTCATCTGATTTAGTATGCTAAAATTGAACCTATGGTAATGTGACACCTCACCTATGGTAATGTGAGACTGTTACACCTCACCTATGGTAATGTGAGACTGCTACACTTTATCTATGGTCGTCCGAGACTATCACTGATGGAGTTGCAAAACTGTCAAACAATACCTCAGACGATGTGAGACTGTCATATATTATCTATGGTGGTATATCACACATTCTATATGGTTATGTGAGCCTGTCAGACATTCCATATGGTTATGTGAGCCTGTCAGACATTCCATATGGTTATTTGAGCCTGTCAGACATTCCATATGGTTATTTGAGCCTGTCAGACATTCCATATGGTTATGTGAGCCTGTCAGACATTCCACATGGTTATGTGAGCCTGTCAGACATTCCATATGGTTATGTGAAACTGTCAGACATTCCATCACTTTTACCTTTGGTTGGTTTGAAACTGTCACACATGTGAGACATATCATTACCTATGGATGTGTGAAGGCTTGCTGTGTCCTGAATCTGTGTACTTTGTATTGGACCCTGGGCCAGTTGACTGAGCTGAGCTTGGCCACTAATAGTGCTGAGAGTATTGTTCTTTTCCTCATGGGCCAGGTACCGCTCAAATCGCTCCATATTCATTTGAGGTTGGTATGTTATCGGATCAGGAGCGACTGCCTCATCATCTGGCGGGATACAGAATCACAACTGTAATGCTAACTCTTCTACGTTTTATTGAAGTGAGCTATGGAACTATTGAATTATTCAATAATGAAATATTTTGTATAATATCCATTTAAAATATCTCTCAGACATCAAATGCATTTCAAATATAAGGCATCTGAAATATTTCCAAATTTTAGTAAAATGTGTATTTATTCCCTTTCTGATGAGATCACAGAGAATCAATACAAGTCTGTAAAACACACCTGAATCTGTCTCAAAGTCATTCAGGGCTGATCCATCCATGAGAGACTGACTCAGGGCTTCCATACGTGTCTGGATGTCAGGGTATTCTGCAACAAGGCTAGCTGTCCTATCAAACACAAGGAATGAATACATTTCATGACAATGTAAAAATATCTTCATTAAGTCAAGGAACTACTGATGATTTCAACCTCCAAGGAATCAGGTACAACTAAGTGAACCTGTATTTTTTATCCATTTTTGTTGGGTGTAAACAATTCAAAGTAAAAGTAAACAATTATGTTATTTTGAGTGTTGGTGTCCTTATAAGAGATGGTGGTTACCTCAATGACCAACATGCAGGAGTCCTACTATATGCTCTCCAAAGTAATATGGGGATTGGGATAATATGTCATGTCCAAGGACATAATCTCAGCTCTTTGACACAAACCTATCCTGGGCAAGGATCAAACCACATATCTTGGATCTTCAAACGAGGTTGAAGAGGAAAGGGCTATCATGGCCCCTTGATGCTTGTAAAATATGTACATACTAATAACAAAAAAATACTATTCTGATATGAGATTGTATATCCTCCTGCCCACCGTCCCCACCTACTTTTTATAACATTGAAAAAAGAATAACCATCATGTATTCATAATTTTGCATTTTTTTAAAATTTGTACTAGTATCATTTACTATTAAAGACCAACATTTGTGTAAATTGTTGATTGTTATGGTCGTTTTATGTTTGTATGCTTAATAAGGCAATCAGAAAGATACCCTCAGTGAAATTGGTTATAAAAAAATTTGTTTATAGACATTCCATACAAACCTGTCTACACCATCAGGGTCTGGGGCTGCAGTAACATGTGGAAATCCTGTAAATCTCTGAAAGAATTGAAAATAATTGTATGTCTAATTTCATCTAACAGATTTCATAGACACTTATTAAAGTACTTACTAAATCAGTTGGAGAAATGAAATAATTAGTAAGATTAGGTAATTGGATAAAACTGTTATTTCTTTATAATATCCTGTCCATCATACATATCCAGAACCTACCTATCACAGATGACTGAATACCACTGTGTACATTCAATCAGTAATGATCCAGCAGACCAGAAAATGTCAGGTAAACATTAATAAAAATGAATATCAGATTTGACACGAACAGAATTTTCACACAGATAAAAAATTTGGTATGTCGGTAAAAAGTTTTAATCAGCATGTCTATCTATCATACATATAGAAACTATTGATTTTTATCATTTGGACAAAGATTCCAAGAGGACAGAACTATACAAACCTTAGGATCATCACCAAACATGTCCTTCACAGATGACATCATCTTATCAGACTTTGCTATCGCACTTTGAAACTGAAAACATTGAAAGTTTATATGTAAATACTGTTTTGTAAGAAAAACATCAATATGGCCATAAAATTCCATTTACACACTGACAAACCACTATAATCATAAACAACCTTTTAACTTTTTCTAGATATGTAATTGCTGTAGCTCAATTACCTGATGTTGGTCATAGAGAACTTCCCTCATAATGGCAAGTTGTCTGGCTTCAGCATTAGAAATACTCAAATCTGCTGCATTCTTCTCTGGAAAATTATCAAATCGAAACATGGCATTCATTTAACTTTGATACGTAGTTACAGAATCAAAATCCATAAAACACTTTAAAGTAAGCTATATACAAATCATATACAATCAATATATTGGCTTAAAATAATTTAAATTTTGATTTTTTTTTATTTCAGAATCATACACAAAAATCAATTCAATGGCCTGTAAGTAAATGCTGCAGACAAGATTCGTAAGTTATGTATGGTCACAAATTTAGACATTAGAAGACCTTACACATCTAACAAGGAAATTTTTAAAACTGAGAGATGAGATCTTCAAACTAGGGTAACATTACAAAAACAACATGGAGCATTAACTTTTGAAATGCATTTGAATCAAACTGCTATTCATGAAAACACAACTTCATGTCATGGTGGTTAAGCCTACCAAGTTTGAAACAGATCAGTAAAATGCTGTGAGAGGCAATCACCTGGTAAATAAAAGTCTACAACAGATGGTTGGACTGACAATGCCATACCATGTTATGTCCCACCTTGTTATGTCCCACCAAATTTTTTGATGGCACATAAATTTTTTTTTTACAGAGCAATAGATGTTTCATAATTCCATTGTTTTACTTGAGTCATAACCAAATATATAATAATCCAATCTTTTCTCTTTTCCTTGTTAAACACATATTTAATATTTAACAATAAACACATGAAAATTTAGTAACAATGAACTAGAGATATATATGTATCCCCTTTATTGATCAGGTGAATGTTTCACATGGCAAGATTTTCTCTTTCTAATAGATTCATGAGAGAACTAACTGATTTGTAAAAATCAGAAAAAACCCACAATGTCAAAAATAGCACCGTGTTCACAAGACTATTGGTAGGTACATTAAATATACCTTCATTTCACAAGGTTAAGTATTTACTGTCACCAAACTATGTACCTACTTATCACCAGACTATGTACCTATTTATCACCAGACTACGTACCTATTTATCACCAGACTACGTACCTACTTATCACCAGACTACGTACCTACTTATCACCAGACTACGTACCTATTTATCACCAGACTACGTACCTATTTATCACCAGACTACGTACCTATTTATCACTAGTACCTACTCATCACCAGACTACGTACCTATATATCACCAGACTACGTACCTACTCATCACCAGACTACGTACCTATATATCACCAGACTACGTAACTACTTATCACCAGACTACGTACCTATTTATCACCAGACTACGTACCTACTTATCACCAGACTACGTACCTACTTATCACCAGACTACGTACCTACTTATCACCAGACTACGTACCTACTTATCACCAGACTAACGTACCTACTTATCACCAGACTACGTACCTATTTATAACCAATTACTCTACTCCGTACCTATTTATTATCAATAACCAGACTACGTACCTATTTATCACCACGTACCTACTTATCACCAGACTATGTACCTACTTATCACCAGACTACGTACCTATCTATCACCAGACTACGTACCTATTTATCACCAGACTATGTACCTATTGATCACCAGACTACGTAACTACTGATCACCAGACTACGTACCTACTCATCACCAGACTACGTACCTATATATCACCAGACTACGTACCTACTTATCACCAGACTACGTACCTATTTATCACCAGACTACGTACCTATTTATCACCAGACTACGTACCTATTGATCACCAGACTACGTACCTACTTATCACCAGACTACGTACCTCCTCATCACCAGACTACGTACCTATTGATCACCAGACTATGTACCTACTTATCACCAGACTACGTACCTACTTATCACCAGACTACGTACCTACTTATCACCAGACTACGTACCTATTTCTCACCTACTTATCACCAGACTACGTACCTATTTATCACCAGACTACGTACCTATTTATCACCAGACTACGTACCTACTTATCACCAGACTACGTACCTATCTATCACCAGACTACGTACCTATTTATCACCAGACTACGTACCTATTTATCACCAATCACCAGACTACATACCTATTTATCACCAGACTACGTACCTACTTATCACCAGACTACGTACCTACTTATCACCAGACTACGTACCTATATATCACCAGACTACGTACCTATTTATCACCAGACTACGTAACTTCTTATCACCAGACTACATACCTGTTTATCACCAGACTACGTACCTATTTATCACCAGACTACGTACATACTCATCACCAGACTACGTACCTATATATCACCAGACTACGTAACTACTTATCACCAGACTACGTACCTATCTATCACCAGACTACGTACCTATCTATCACCAGACTACGTACCTATCTATCACCAGACTATGTACCTATTTATCACCAGACTACGTACCTACTCATCACCAGACTACGTACCTATTTATCACCAGACTACGTACCTATTTATCACCAGACTACGTACCTATTTATCACCAGACTACGTACCTATTTATCACCAATCACCCGACTACGTACCTATTTATCACCAGACTACGTACCTATTGATCACCAGACTACGTACCTACTTATCACCAGACTACGTACCTATTTATACCTACTCATCACCAGACTACGTACCTACTTATCACCAGACTACGTACCTATTTATCACCAGACTACGTACCTATTTATCACCAGACTACGTACCTATTGATCACCAATCAACAGACTACATACCTATTTATCACCAGACTACGTAGCTACTCATCACCAGACTACGTACCTACTTATCACCAGACTACGTACCTATTTATCACCAATCACCAGACTACGTACCTATTTATCACCAGACTACGTACCTAGATACTACGTACCTATTTATCACCAGACTACGTACCTACTTATCACCAGACTACGTACCTATTTATCACCAGTACCTATTTATCACCTACGTACCTACTTATCACCAGACTACGTACCTATTTATCACCAGACTACGTACCTACTTATCACCACTACGTACCTATTTATCACCAGACTACGTACCTATTTTTATCACCAGACTACGTACCTATTATCACCAGACTATCACCAGACTACGTACCTATTTATCACCAGACTACGTACCTATTTATCACCAGACTACGTACCTACTTATCACCAGACTACGTACCTATCTATCACCAGACTACGTACCTATTTATCACCAATCACCAGACTACGTAACTACTTATCACCAGACTACGTACCTACTTATCACCAGACTACGTACCTATTTATCACCAGACTACGTACCTATTGATCACCAGACTACGTACCTATTTATCACCAGACTACGTACCTATTTATCACCAGACTACGTACCTATTTATCACCAGACTACGTACCTATTGATCACCAATCACCAGACTACATACCTATTTATCACCAGACTAAGTACCTATTTATCACCAGACTACGTACCTATTTATCACCAATCACCAGACTACCTACCTATTTATCACCAGACTACGTACCTACTTATCACCAGACTACGTACCTCCTCATCACCAGACTACGTACCTATTTATCACCAGACTACGTACCTATTTATCACCAGACTACGTAACTACTTATCACCAGACTAAATACCTATTTATCACCAGACTGCGTACCTATTTATCACCAGACTAAGAACCTTCTTTTTACCTGACTAAGTACCTACTTTTCACCAGAAAACGTACCTATTGATCACCAGACTACATACCTATTTATCACCAGACTACGTACCTATTTATCACCAGACTACGTACCTACTTATCACCAGACTACATACCTACTGATCACCAGACTATGTACCTTCTTTTCACCAGACTACGTATCTACTTTTCACCACCAGACTAAGTACCTTCTTTCCACCAGACTACGTACCTACTCATCACCAGACTACGTACCTATATATCACCAGACTACATACCTACTCATCACCAGACTACGTACCTATCTATCACCAGACTACGTACCTATATATCACCAGACTACGTACCTACTTATCACCAGACTACGTACCTATTTATCACCAGACTACGTACCAATTGATCACCAGACTAAGTACCTATTTATCACCAGACTACGTACCTTCTTTTCACCAGACTACGTATCTACTTTTCACCACCAGACTAAGTACCTTCTTTCCACCAGACTACGTACCTACTTATCACCAGACTACGTACCTACTTATCACCAGACTACGTACCTACTTATCACCAGACTACGTACCTACTTATCACCAGACTACGTACCTACTCATCACCAGACTACGTACCTACTCATCACCAGACTACGTACCTATCTATCACCAGACTACGTACCTATTTATCACCAATCACCAGACTACATACCTATTTATCACCAGACTACAGACCTACTTATCACCAGACTACGTACATATCTATCACCAGACTACGTACCTATTTATCACCAGACTACAGACCTACTTATCACCAGACTACGTACCAATTTATCACCAGACTACATACCTATTTATCACCAGACTACGTACCTATTTATCACCAGACTACGTACCTATTTATCACCAGACTACGTACCTACTTATCACCAGACTACGTACCTATTTATCACCAGACTACGTACCTATTTATCACCAGACTACGTACCTATTTATCACCAATCACCAGACTACGTACCTATTTATCACCAGACTACGTACCTATTTATCACCAATCACCAGACTACGTACCTATTTATCATCAATCACCAGACTACCTACCTATTTATCACCAGACTACGTACCTACTTATCACCAGACTACGTACCTATCTATCACCAGACTACGTACCTATTTATCACCAGACTACGTACCTACTCATCACCAGACTACGTACCTATATATCACCAGAATATCTAAAAAAGACTACGTACCTATTTATCACCAGACTACGTACCTATATATCACCAGACTACGTACCTACTTATCACCAGACTACGTACCTATTTATCACCAGACTACGTACCTATTTATCACCAGA